GTATTCCTCATCAAGCACTACAGAGGACATCCTTGGGACATCCATAGGACAGCCTATCAGCAACGCTGAGGGATATGAATTGGATGTCCATAGGACGTCCCAGGGACGTACGAATTATTCTTGAATTAGAATTTTTCTGGGTCCCTCTAGGACCAGATCTTGCATTACTGATAAGGACATCAAATTGAGTTGATGGTCCGTAGAAGGTCCCCAGAAAGTTTCCCAAGGATGTCCAATGGACTTACGTGAAGGACATTGACGAGGAGTACTTATAGCCTACGAGCAATCATTCGTCGGCAAGGTGTAAGTTAACGTCCTCGCAGAGACAACATATTGAAAGTGCCGACTGGGACGCCCATAGCGCGTTATTTCTAGGACATTGGAATTCATGTACCAATTGGGACATCCGACGGATATCCCTAAGGGACATTCGAAGGATGACCCGAAGGGACATTTCGATTGTTATACGATCCTGGAAATATTAAAGGCGTCTGTGCAGAGATATTAAAAGGAATGTACCATCAGGGACATTTCATGGTTGTCTAGAAGAGACATTATATAAGATCTGAAGTCATGCCAGAATATGTACTACTCGGGACATCCGATGGATGTCCCTCAAGGAACGTTTAAAATCATATCCCATCAGGGACATGCCAAGGACGTCCTTGCATGGACATATTCTACAATATGTACCACGTGGGACGTCTGAGGGATGCTATTTCTAGAACATTTGAAATGATGTACCAGCTGGGACATTCCGTGGACGTTCTTGCTCGGACATTGCATGAGATGTACGGGATGGGACGTCCCAAGGACACTTATTTTTGGTTCGAGACATTCTGACGTGAATTGTACCGAATAGGGACGTCCCTAGTACGTTGTGTGCTATTTGGGTAATTACGTAAGATACGGAGGTGTTTCCATGATTAGTTAAGACAAAAATGAATTTGTCAGAACTGAAATTTTTCAGGAAAAATATATAAATAGTTAGTGGATTCGCGTCCTGTTTTCTGATCCGAAGTGATTTTCAACCTATTTTGCCTCCTCAATGATTTTCTGAAAATTGGAGTGGTTCCATGACTGTTGGCAAGCAGTTTATATCACTGGAGATAACCACACTTGGACATAAAGTGAAATTTTTTTGTATATCTCTCGCTCCAGCAAATTTCAGGATCCTTACCCAACGATTTCGTAAGATACAAGGGTGTTTCCATTAGAAGTGAGACACACTGTATAAATATATACGTATTCCTTTTACGAAAATGATATGATCGACATGACCTGTATATAGAAATAAAAGCACCCAGATTGAAAAATATAGCATCACTAAAATCATATTATTTTGCGCAAAGAGTGGGATTGAATTCTTTTTATCCAAAAATTCTTGTCTAGGTGAATATTACTAAATGAGACGTATTTCAAAAGGGATAATATACCACTTGACATTCCAGAGTTGGGGTATATTGGGCCTGAGGAGTGACTCACTCCTTTACTGAAATATGACTCCATATTATTTCTGCCCATTGGCGTTCTCCCAACGTTTTGATTCTACACGGAAAAAAATGGTCCAAGTAAAATGTTTTCCTGACTTGTTTTGTATCGGGATAAGAAAAATAATACCTATTCCAGAATAGTAGATTGTGCAACAAGTGGGAAAAGTTCAACTTTTCTCACGAGTGTGGAAGTTTGTGGCACGAGCCTGAAAGGCGAGTGCCGCAAACACACGAGTGAGGAAAGTACTTTTCCCCACATGTTGCACACTATACTTTTTCTACGACTGCACATATTCAAAGAACAATGTAACTCAATTTTTATTTTTTATGGGTTATAGCAGAACTAAAATAACATAACATAATAACAAGTTTCCTACCTCTTAACAGTTGAATTATTCATTTGAAATTATAGTTAATTGTGAAATTCTTACAATTTTGTATGGTCAAACCAGGAAAGTCATTGTTTTTGAGTAAATTTTCTGTTATATTAATTGTAGAAGTAGAAGTTGAAGGTTGATTATTTATGTACAGTGGTGCATTTTCTGTCTCCATTTCAGTGAATAGTTCTACTGGTTTTTCAATAGAGTCGACGATTTTATTTGCAACGTCCATTTTATTTTTAATAGAGTCTCCGACGTATCCTTCTGCCACGGTACTGGATTGCCATCCTCCATGGCGCTTTAAGGTTAATATGTCACCTCCTGCATTTACTAAAATTGTTGCCGAAGAACGTCTGAAGCAGTGTCCTGTATATAAATGGGGATTTTCCAATTTTAAAAAAATTGCAATTCTCTTTGCCATACTACCAAATTTGTTGATGCCGACTACTTGTCTAGTACATTTTCCGTTCTGGTAATTCAAGAAGAAACGTTTTTCTGCCAAATCATTCGGTCGAAGAGCGGCATATTTTTTATAAATATTATAAAATTCCCCCGTTACAGTGAAAGTTCTTGGCTTCTTTGTTTTGGTGTTATCTAATTTCACCAACAAAGGCGAATTTAGATCCTCTAAATCATCGACTTTTAATTTCCACAGTTCATCTCTACGACATGCCCCTGCTACGCCAATAGCCACTGCAACCTACAAATAAAAATATCAGGATGTAAAATCATTTATATAATTAAGAAAATATATCATCCCTGGCCGGGTATTGAACCCCGGGCCGCTAGTATCCTAAGCGGAAGCACTACCACTACACCACGGAGTAGTTATTAAAATATTTATTCATAGGCATATACTCATCTTCCACAATATGAAATTGACTTTTTGAAGATTATCTAATTATTTTTACCTACTGAATACACCCACTAACTATAAAAAGCTGTTAATTCGAGGAAGAAAGCGGAAGAAATAGTTCAATTTAAATAATAAACCCACCTTTATTAGTAGATATTTCTTGTTTGGAGCTTCTTTTGAAAATCTCTGCAATTGGTCGGTTGTTAATATGTTTGATTTCTTTGGGAAGTAATTGTCAGACTTTCTTTTCAAAAATGCACGTTATTTTTGATACGTGGATATATCAATGTTATGTTTAATACTGATGGTACTTTTCAACATCGAATATTGTGACCAAAGTGTTGACGCCTTCAAAGTTTTCGACATTTCTTCGAAGTATACCAAAAGTACACTTTCCGAAAACGATTTTATTTTCGTATTTCTTCTCCATTCCATGAATTTCCCATATGCCAATTCATACTTCTTTCGGGAAATTTCCGGCAACAAATCTAATGTTACTTTTGCCGCTTGTTCCAATATTTCTGGTGGAGTATTGTCAAAATCGTCACTGCTTTCATAAGTTTCCATATTATTTACCTATCACTGGTACAAATATGTATATTATGTCTTACTAATATTCAATGAAATTGCGATTTTTTATCGAAACACGATTGATAACTACCTCAAAAATTGAAATAAATTCTGTTGACAGTTGTTCGTGACAACAGCGGCCAACTAAGTTTTTGTCGATTTTAGTTGATTCTCCATATAAAAGGTACCTACTATGCGTGGTGTTGGCAAAGTGCTGTGAGAAATAATATTTCTCACAGGTATGAGCAATTCGTGGTTTTGAAATTGAGTAAGCCATGAGAATTACGCTACTTTTCATAGCAGTCGTAGAAAAACAATTTTATTCAGCCTCTAGTAAAATGATAATTCTGAACGCATGAACTTGTAGCTATAATTTCATCCACCTATAGCAAATAGTTTTCATCTTAGATAATTCACTTTGTATAGCCACAGGAAAACATTTTATAAGCTCTGGTGAAGTGTATTTTAGACTTTATTAACTTCGAGTTTCTGAAAAGGAAATAATAACTACAGAAACTCTTGTTACAAGCACAATACAATTGTTTATCTACAGTACAACCCAATATACCTACGGTAATACAACATGTTCACCTGCCCAGTAATCGGGAATGATCGTCGCCCTCTCGTGTTGTATAAACGAATTGATCAGAATCCATCAGCGTCACTAGCGTCAGTTTCGTCGTGACTTCGTGAGAGTATGTTCAGTTTGAGGATTTGGTGCACGTGGTAAATCGAAAAATAATTTTTGGTGTTGTATTCATTATATTATGCTGAGGAAGTATGACTCATCACCACGAGAGGTATAGAAGGTGCCATTCAGAATCTCTTTTGGGGGCGGCCGAGAGTTATAGACAACCAAAAGTGCTGTTTTACTTTTTATCGATCTGTTATTTACTCAAAAGTTTATCATTGTGTAGAAATGACGTTATTCATAGTGATGAGTTCTTAAATAAAACTGTTCATTTGTGAAATAAAAATGTATTGTAAGAAAATAAGGCATGATACATTACAAATGAATCAAATGATCCTTGTTTGAATGATGCCAAGTGAATTAGGAGTGAAGACAGGAAGAAAGTTCGACTGAGTCTGGTGTATCCCGATAACAAAGATGGGATGAAAGCTATCCAAGGTGAGACATGATGAACTACCCACAAGTGAGTCATAATAGATGAGGCCAAGTGAATCAAGATAATTGTAGTTATTAAAATAAGCACCTAGCCAATAATGTCGTTGCATAACTCCAAGTGAAAAGTACACTACCCACAAGTGAGGTATTCTATGAGGCCAAGTGAAACAAGTCACCTATACTTATCGAACTGACCACCTATCCAATGATTTCGTTGTATAACTGCAAGTAAAATGTACACTTAGGCCAATAAAACAAATATTCTGTCCCTAATAAAGCGTTTAATATCAGTAGGTTACATATGTGTTCCTGAAATCACATTAATAACAACAAGTGATCAGATTCAGAAATATCATTTTTCTTGTGGCTGATGAGGCGAGTACTTGTCCCATATAGTATGCAAATTTTTACTTGGTAGTATGCAGATTTCACTAGCTGTTATTAAAGTTTTTTTTTTCGTGTACGAGAAAAAGTTTTCAAATTGATAATTCGCCTTTGAAATCCAACTCATCTAAATTAGAAAAACTTTAAAGAAGAGAAAAATTATATCGATTTTAGATACCTATGTTTTTTAGGATGAACCACAGTGCACAGATCGAAAATGGGGTCCATGGGGCCCCTGTAATGTGTCATGTGGAACCGGTTATAAAACAAGAGTGAGTTTGCCTAAAGAAGATCAGAATGATGAAGATAACGAGAATGACGCAGAAGAAAATTGTCCAGGTCAAGAAACTGTCAAGTGTAGTATGCCATGCAATGAAGGTAAGTCAATAACCCCGAAGATATCCAATATATGAATTCGAAATAACTTTTGATTCAACTTACAAAGTATTTTCAAATGTTGTGTGTGTTTCAGAACCTTTTGGAGAAAATCTAGTGATCCTAGAACAATTGCCTGATGGTAGAGTTCTTGATTGCAAGGTGAGTCAATGGACAGTTTGGAGTCCCTGTGATTTGAATGGAGCATCTTGTGGCCATGGGTACATAAGAAGAAATAGATATATTCTGGTGAGTAACTCTTCAATATTATCAACTCATTCCAATGATTCACAATATTTCTCCTTGAAACTATAGTCTGAACTATACAGGGTGGCATTGAAATAAGTGCAAATATTTCAAACCCTGAAAATGCATAACGTTTAAATGAAAAAAATAGGGATCAGAATAAAATTTTTGGTAAGACCACTTTTTCCATTCAAAGTTATATACTGTAGCAATTCTGACGTCACATCTGTTCAAATTTACATGCGGATAGCACAATCAGACGGAGTTTAATCATTAAAATTGTTTCAAATGTGCAACGTCTCTGCAGAATTTTTCCATTGGATTTTTGTAATGAATTTCGGATTTTGTATGCGTACCTACCTATATTATCTAACTTGTTCAGTTTCGAAAATACTCTCCACCTCTATCAAATTCGCATTGCTGTATACGATCTCACCGGGTGTTCTTCTGATTATATGGAACAGCATCTTCAAAACTTTGTTCTGCAAGATTTGCATTTTTTTGTATTGAGTTTGCGAACAGGTTTATACTAGATACCTGAATACACTGACAAAGTATGTTTGATGAATGTTATATTTTATTTGTTGGTTTATAACATTTTCGAGTTTATATAACTCTCCTATCATTGGTAATGATTTAGTACAAATTTTGTTTATGTGATCACCCTAATCTAATTCATTATTAATGATGAGTAATACCAGATATTCATGGTGACTGTAACCCTGGTCAACATACAGGGTGTCCGGAGATAAAACCGAAAAAACTCATGGGGTTATAGGGACTGTCAATATGATTGCAAAATGCCATAAACGAATGTCCAAAACGGCTTCGTTACTGAGATACAGAGTGATTTGTGAATTTTGACAACAAATTCAATCCGCCATATAAAATACAGGGATTATCCGATTGGATTCAAATTTGGTACACAAATTACACTGAAGAGCATCAACAAGTAGCCCTTTGATCGAAACCAATATCAGGACCGGAATAATATTTTTCCCCTATGTTGCGTTATTGTTAGGATAACTCACCCTGTATCATAATAACCAAAAATTCCAACTCAGATTCGCAATTTACGGTGAAAATTGTATACGAATTTGTTGAAAAATCTCCTGGCACCATCTTAGTTATTCCGTAATTAATTATCATTTTGATTTTTTTCATTGAAAAATCAATCATTGTCGGATAAAGTACGGATATTTAAGTTCATGAATCGGAGTAAAATGAAATATTCTCATAACCCGAAAAAACTAAAGAATAAATTCGTATCAGGACTGGAATGAGTGTTTTGTTTGGTCATGTTAGCTGACCTAGTACATCAATAGTTATCAATAATCTGATCGTAGATTCGGAATCTGAAAAAATCGTATAAGAACCTGTTAATGAAGGATAACAGTGAAGTTTTCGTAAATTATATTGGCTCACTAATGAATTTGAATTTATGAGAATACTACACAACGAACAATAACTGTTTGTAATGAACATAACAAAAGCAACGAATTCGTGAAAAACTTTCACTAACCAGTATTACAAAACATTTTCGAAGTGGAGCCCTCCAACATCAATACATTTTTGAGAGCGTGCCATTAGATGATTCACTGACTTGCGAATTATTTGAGGGTTATTTCTAACACTAACACATGCAGCAGTAATTTCTCATAAAAAATTCCTTCATTAAGAACTTCTTACTTTAAATGACCTCATAAAAAATAATCTAGCTGAGTTAGATCAGCGGGATAGCGGTGGCCAATTTACTGAACCTCCACGGCCACTCCATCTATTGGGGTAATTGGCATCGAGATGGTTTCTATCTGGAACTGCAAAGTGAGGTCTAGCACCATCATGCTGAAACCATATACCTCAGGTATTTACACCTTGCAATAGATCCGGTCAAGTATTGACCAGGAAATTTAGGTAAACATCACCAGTTAAAGCCCAAACACAAATAGAATATCTGCGTATTCCTCGTAAGTGAAATGAAACGGCATCATAAGCACACTCTCAGAACTATAGTTTGATCCTAAAAATACTGGAATAATGAATGAACACCGATAAAACAAACGCTGATGACAGCTGAACAATGGTTTTCCATAATGAAATTCTGAATTTGACACAAGCCTAGTATTCTTTATACACAAATATTATAAGGTACTGATACGGATTTATTATTTGGAAGTTCAATCCGATCATTTTTCAACAAGTTTCAACTTTTCTCAGTGCATTTCTAATCTACGATCAGATCATTTTTATACTAGATCATCTATTCTTACAGGAATATAATCATAGAAAACCGCATTCCAGTCCTGATACGAATATATTTTTCAATTTTTTTGGGTAATGAGAGTATTTTATTTTACTACGATTCACGGACTGATTGAAGGAAATAACGATATTCATGTCATGGTTTCGTTAATATTTATTATATTACCAATTTTGATAGAACTTTATCCGATAATAATTGAATTTTGAAAGAAAAAAATTAAAATAATAATTAATCACGGAATAACTAAGATAGTGCCAGAAGATTTTCCAACAAATTCCTATACAATTTTCACCGTAGAAAATAATAATGATAATAATAATAATAATAATAAAGGTCTTCATTATTTTCAAGTAGTACTCATACATTTTGTGAATAAAAATAAACATATTTTTTGAAAATAAGGGGCGAAGTTCATTTTCTGTAGAGAAACAGTAGCTTCACTACGAAAATGCTCTTCCACTTAACCCTGACTCGAATCTGAGTTGAAATTTTTTGTTATTATTATACAGGGTGAGTTATTCTCACAATAACTAAACATAGGGGAAAAATATCATTCCAGTCCTGATATTGATTTCGATCAAAGGGCTACTTGTTGATGCTTCTCAGTGTAATTCGTGTACCAAATTTGAATCTAACCGGTTGATCCCTGTATTTGATATGGCGTATTGGGTTTTTTGTCAAAATCCACAAATCACTCTGTATGTCAATAACGAAGCGGTTTTGGACATTGGTTAATGCTCGGGTTAATGGCATTTTGCAATCATATTGACAGTCCCTATAACCCCACAAGTCTTGTCGGTTTTATCTCCGGACACCCTGTATAATCTCCTAGTTGGATGTGGATGTTATCTCATATACAGGGTGACTCATGACTCATGACTAACCAGCCATAGCCTAATGGCGGATATAGGAAGTCAAGGTGAGTTGATATATATATGGAAAAATATAGTTTGCATATTTGCATATTCGTAACAAAAATACTGGGCATTATTTGAAATCGGGGCGAAACTTGATGAACGATATTTCAGGAACATATAGATGTTATCGTTTGAAATTCACCAGCAACTTACCTCCACTGACATCCTTCCAGTTGAAGAGCATGAATAAAATACTGGACGGACACTTGAGGAGTGGTGTACTAACAAAACACCTCCTAAATGTTCACCAGTATGCCTACCAGGCTGGTGAATCAACAGTACTTGCCCTCAATAACCTTGTCTCAGGAATAAACGACGCCCTGGAACACCAGGAGGTAGCTGTCGCTGCGTTCCTAGACATAGAAGGAGCATTTAACAATACACTACCTCACTCCCTATACGAGGCCACTGTTTCTTGAGGAATTGAACCAATACTATGTGACTCGATAAGAACCATGCTTTATAACAGAACTATAAAGACCTCTCTACAGGAGGAAAGTGTCAGCTTCAGACCGGCAAGTGGCTGCCCTCAGGAGGGAGTCCTGTCCCCTCTGCTGTGGTCACTGTTCGTGGATGATCTGCTGGCCATTCTCTCAATCTGGGAGGTCGATCTGCAAGCATATGCTGACAATATGGTTCCAGTAATACTCGATAAATCCAAAGAGACGATCTCCTACGTCCGTTAGGATATATTGAACACCATAAATAAATAGTGTGAGAAGGAGGAAATGTCCATTGACCCTCACAAAATAGTCATAGTACCGTTCACCAGGTGAAGAAAGCTGGAAAATTTGAGACCTCCTTCCATCAATGAAGTAACAACTCTCCTTGCGAGGGAAGCGGAATATTTGGCGAAATATTTGGGAATAGGAAGCTTAATTGGAACTCGCACCTGGAAAAGACTATCCGGAGGGCTAGCCTATCATTATAGACATGCCGCAGAATATGTGATGAATGTGTGGGGCATGTCACCAAAACAAGTATACTGGGTGTACGTGACCGTCATACGACCAATAATCACGTATGGCTCTGCTGTCTGGTGGAGCAAAGGTCAACAAAAAATGGTCCAGGCTAAACTCAACGGACTACAGAGACAAGCTTGTCTGGCGATTACAGGGGCCATTTGCTCCACGCTAACGGCAGCAATGGAAGCCCTTCTCGGATTATTTTCTCTCCACATAAAGCTGGAGTGAGAGGCAAGATGGGTAACATACAAAATCCATCAAGCGGCCATTAGTTTTCCGCAGGCAGTGGCCATGAAAAGCAGCAAAATGCTGGAGGGTATAATATCTCACAACATTCTGGGAATGCCCTTAGACATTATGCCTAAAACTACCAGCCTCCACACGTCCTACACTGTGGTCTTCCCTGAGAGAGGAGAATGGGTTCGGAATGAAACGAACCTATGTAGGGCAGAAGAATGCTGGTACACCGATGGCTCTAAAACTGTGGAAGGCGTCGGAGCCGGAATATACGGAATGAACCCAGTAATGAAACGCTCATTGAGTATGGGTAAACTAGCTACGATATTCCAGGCAGGTTAGGTCAGGTTAGGTCAGGTTAGGTACACACTAAAAACAATGAAAATACTCTTCTGTAGTAGTCCATACTCGAAGTGGAGTGGATTGAGCAAAAAGAAAACTTTGAGTTTTCATTCTAAATGAAAATACTCTCAGATAGTCAAGCATCACTGAAAGTACTTGAATCCAACTGCCTCAAATCCATAGCAGTATGGAACTATAGAGGAACCTTAAACCGACTGGTACAACGCAATAGCGTCAACCTAGTCTGGATACCAGGTCACACGGGCCTAGGAGGGAACG